ATATATATAAATGTTATAAAATATTTTCAATCATAAAAAGGAATAAAACTTTGCCATTTGAGACAATATGGATGGACCTTGAGAGCATTATGCTTAGTGAAATAAGTCAGACAGAGAAAGACAAATACTGTATGATCTCACTTACACGTGGAATCTAAACAAAAGAAAAATCCAGCTCCTAGATACAGAGAACAGATTGGTGGTTGCCAGAGGTGAAGGGGTGGGCGAAATGAGTAAAGGTGATCAAAAGGTACAAACTTTCAGTTACAAAATAAATGTCATGGAAATGTAACATACAGCATGGTGATTATAGTTAATAATACTGTATTGCATTTTTGAAAGTTGCTAAGACAGTAGATCTTAAAAGTTTTTATCATAAGAAAAAATTCTGTAATGATGTATGGTTATGGATATTAACTAGATTGTGGTGATCATTTGGCAATAGATAAAATATTGAATCATTATGTTGTACGCCAGAAACTTATGTAATGTTGTATGTCAATTATACCTCAATTTATTTATTTTTTTTTATTTATTTTTTTTTTTCAATATACCTCAATTTAAAAAAAAGAAATAATGGGGCCAGCCCACTGGCACAGTGGTTAAGTTCACGCACTCCGTTTCGGCAGCCTGGGGTTCGCAGGTTCGGGTCCTGGGTGTGGACACATGCACTGCTTATCAAGCCATGCTGCGGCAGCGTCCCATATAAAGTAGAGGAAGATGGGCATGATGTTAGCCCACAGCCAATCTTCCTCACCAAAAAAAAAAGAAAGAAAGAAAAGAAAAAGAAATAATTAAAAAATATAGACCAAAAGTAGATTGTCAGATCTATTCAGGGTGTAAAGTCACTTTTTGTAGAAGATACAACTATCCAAGCACTAGACATTTATAACCCTGCTTGAGAGGAGCAAGAACTGAGGGAAATATATTCTTCATTGTGATTTTACGCCTAACAAGTCATTGTTTTCAAGACAAAAAGGGGAAAAGCGCAATAAGGAACACAAGTGTCTGGTCTTTGAAAAGTTTTAGCGTCCATTGTCTTTGGGTGTTAGGGTACAAATTATCTTAGTTTTCAATATGTGCTCTGCATGAAGCCCTGCTCTTCGTGGGTGAGCTTAACTGTAGTCACTAGAACTCCTCAAGAAATAACAACCTAGGTCCCAGACACCATTGCTATGGGCCTGGACCCACTCTCAAATACAAATGCAATCCCAGAGATGATGGACAGTGTTTAGTAGCTCCCACCCTCTACTGGACCATCCACTGCCCAGGCCATGCTCTGATACCTGGAATCAGCTTCAAGGCATTCTCCAGGTACTCATCTTCTGTGATAGGGTGACCGTGTAACTTTAGCTCCAGGGTAAAATCCCGCACAGTCCAGATAAAGTCTGGAAAGAAGCTCACGAATTCTGTGGCACCTTTTACTCCATCTGGTTTGGGGGAAGACTTTGCCCTGATGAGTTCTGTGAGCTCTGTCACATAACTAGGACTTGGCTAAGGAAAAGGAACTTTCTAGCCACAATTCCCACATTTCCCTCATAAAATATTACTATAAACACTCTCTTTTGCCTTGGGTCTCCTCTGCTCCACCAAAGGTAACTCAGCCAAGGGGAAGAAGAATCCCATTTGTTCTCTATTCTCATCAATTTTTCAATAAAACTGGGAAGGATACTGCAGTTTCTCCAAGGCATCGTTGTTGATGGTGCTTATGCTGTTGTAGACCAAAGTGCTGCTCAGAAGCACAGCCAGGGCAAAGATCCACGAGTCATTCTTAGAGTCGCCCTAGAAAATGTATTAGAGAAAGCACTTACTAATCTTCCCTTCAGAAACCCACTCAGTTATTTGTTCAATCATTTTTCATTTGTTATTTTCAGATAGGACAGTGTTGCTACAAAGAAAACATCTTGAAAACAGAATTAAAGGCAAATCTCAGCTTTGGCAATTATATTGACATCGCTTGTGACCTCAGTTTCCCCATCTATAAAAGAATTCTAATACTTTCTTCAAAATGTCCTTTTTTTCTGAATGGGATGAAATAAGATAATATGTATTAAAAAAAAAAGTAGAGTGTCTTTTGAGCAATTAGCTGCTTAGTAATAAGTGACACCACATGTTCATTTAACAAAAAGTGAGCTACAAAATACGTACTGTGCTAGTCACAATGGGTCACTCAAAATAAAGCCAATTAAATTAAATATTTATGGACTACTACTAAATGTTACACATGTTTCTTAGTTGTAGGGAAGCAAAGATAAATACAATAATTGTTGCATTCAAGATGACTATCTCATAGTATTTACAAACATTTGAAAAATGAATGCAACAAGGATAATATATTCAAAAGGTTACACACTAGTTGTGAATCTAAGCAGTGAAACCGGTAGCCATTATATTGGATAAAAATAATGAATCTGTCAAAGGGGAACAGAAGATGTTAGAATTAGAGAAAGAGTGTGTGTGTGATATTAAACCTCCCTAGAAATTTCTTGCTGGATGTTAAAGGATTTGTAAAATGTAGACTTGAAGAAATGAAAGAAGCATGCAAGTAGAAAGATCTACAGAAGCAAAATGAGAGTCAGAATGCAATAAGCATAGAATTATGTGGTCTGACTGGCACAGAGCAGAGGATGGGTGCCGAAGATAAGGCTCAAAAGCAAGCTCCTGTGCAGGACGATGCAGAGACTTGAAGATGGGCAGAACCGTTTTCGTGTTGCCTAAATTGTTGTGGAAGCCAGCGTTTGGTTGTAGTATAAACAGTGTGTAAGATCTGGCCTGTTCTTGGAAACCCTTGAGGAAATGCAAGTGCTGAAATCTAAATCTAGGAATGGGGAATTGTAAAAGAAATATTATTGATATACCCCATTTCTCAAATTCTAATTATTTTGAGTAAATGACTAAGAACAGAAGAAGCTGGACTTAGGGAAGACAATAACAGTTTAGACACCAAGATTCTATCTTTGTTTGATATGTCACCTTATAAGGAAGGACAGAATTTCTGCCTCCTTTTAGGCAGAAATGAAGACCTAGAGAAATATGGCCATTGCTTCCAATTTAAAGAAGAAAGGAGGCAGATAAGGAAGGGCAAAGAGAGAGAGACAGAAATAGCAGAGAGAGAGAGAGAGGAGATCATTCATTTTACCCATAATATGAAGACAAACAAACTAAAATCCATATAAATAAACTTCCTGCCTGTCAGTGTCTATCTTTGAGTCTGCTTTCCAGGAAACCTACCTTGCCTACCCATAACAAAGCACTGATTACTTGGTATTATATTGGACTGCATACACATTGTCTCCTCAACTGGGCAGAAGGCTCTTTGAGGGCAGGGCCTACACTTTGTTCAGTAATATCTATAATACTCAGCCCAAGACCCTTTAACTCAGCTTCTCAATAAAGGTTTATTAAAATGGATGAAATTATGCACTTCAGTGCTCAGAAATAAAAGATCTTACCAAATATACCACATTATCTGTTCTTAACTAGAATTGACTTTCAAAGAGACCAAAGTATGCCTCCTTCGATATAGTTGGATTTCAATATTTCAGGAATAGTTCACAACAGTTAAATTACAAAGGATCATGAAGAGATAAGGAGAAAATCCAGTATGAAAAGGATCCATCTGTGACTCTCTATCTTACTTTTTCCACATCACCCAGGCCCTCGGTGTCCAAAAGGACCAGGGTATGGTTCTGCTTAGAGGGGTGAGGCACACACCACATCCAGATGCCCTTGGTTTCAGACTGCACTGTAGAGCCTAGAGGGAAACCTGAAGGGAACAAGAGAAAGCAAGATACGGTGACATGACAGCAGATAGGCCAAGAAGCCCATGGGCTACAAAATTAGAGTTACAGGACTGTAAGTGTGCTCGGATAGCGCATGGTGCTTTTCCCCATTTCAAGGATGTCCAACGTTGTGTGTCATCTAACTACTCATACCTTTAGCAGTCAGACTCTTTCACATAAGTTTGATTTATACAAAATGCTAAATTCTATTTCCCAGTGTAAGAAAATTTCTATTCATGTCTATGTGGCCTACCAATGAACTAGATGAGAGAAAGGGCATGCTACACACAAGAAAGCTTTGATTTTTAAGTGTTCAACAATCATGACTCCCTAAAGAAGTTAAGTTACTTGAATGTATTATAATTAGATCAAGACCTTTCAATAGTCTGAGGAATAAACAAGATAATTTATTGAATACTTATTAAGTACCTATTATGTTCTAGGCATTGGGGATATGTTCAAGACTCAGGAGATACAGCAGTGACGGAAATAAACAGAAATACCTGCCCTTTGGAGTTTTATAGCCAATGAGTGCTAAGAGTCTGCTAATTTATAGCCAGCATATGGGCCAGCCAAATGAAATCTGGTCTTAATGGACCAGGGAGAAAGGAATGGGTGGGAAAAAAAAAAAAAGCACACTTTAATAAGCCCTCATAAAAAGTCATGGCTGTATCTCACTTCTTACTTGTTTTGAAGATGCTGTTAATCACAACTAATTCAAGGGATCATAGCAACAGTTAAAACATTCTCTAAGAGGAATATTAACATCGCATCATGTTCATGCTGATTTTTTCCATATTGAGGGAAAACAGATCTTCTGAGACCCCTGCATAAAACCAGGATAGAAGTGTTGATGGGTACTTGATGCGGATTCTATATTCTCATTTGCTGCCCATGAAACTCAGAAAGTTGTCCTCTACTTTTCTTATGACTTTTTTTATACGCGAAATGCTCTTTACGTTAAACCATACTCACGGACTGTAGGATTTGGATATGCTAGTCTATAAGATATTCAGCAACACCTAGGTATTGTGCTCTGATCAGAAATTTTATAAAGGCTAGTTAAAGCCATATAAAGATAACAGTGAGCTAAAAGATAAACATTCTGATTTATTTTTCTTTTATTCAAGTAAAAAAGCATTTACTGTGTACCCACTACATTCTACACACTGTTATTGTTGCCGGAAATTTATCAGCAAAGGGTCCAGGTAAAGTTTCTTGCTCTACAGATTTTAATTTTAATATAAGAGAAAAAACACTCAACAAGTAAAGATGTAAATAAACTATGTTCATATTGTGTTAAATTTAAGTAGAAGAGCAACACGAGACAGGATGGTCGGGGAAGACCTCTTTGAGAACTGACGTTTGTGCAGAGCCGTGAATAAAAGGAGCTAGCTGGGGAAGAAGCAGCGAGCATTGCAGGCAGAGTGAACTACACGTGCGTAGGCCTGGAGCTAGAAAAGGGCTTGCGATTTGCAAGAATAAAAAGGAGGCTAATGCGTCTGCAGCATAACCAGTGGTGAAGAAAACACATCAAATGTGTTTGGAGGAATAGGAAAGACTTCATCATAGTGGGTCTCCGAGGAGTATCTATTTTATATACGTATAACGCCAGCTTAAGGAGAGTATTAAAAGCAACTAGATTAAAGATCACTCTGATTTCTTTGAAGAGAATTTATTAGAGAGGGCCAAAGTGGAAGCAAGGAGGACACTTAGGAAAAAAAGACAAATATTGCAGGCAAAAGTTGAGGGTGACTTAGTCTAGGATGGTAACATAAAAATGGAGAAAAAGAGACAGATTTGATATACCCTTAGTAAGAATAACAAGAAGTCTGATGCATGGATTGGATGTGGGAGACAAACCAAGCGAGGGATGTGATTTGGGACTTAAGACTGAAAGGCTACAGGTACACTAGAGAAGAAGATGAATGAGAAAGCAGAAAGTGTGTTTTATTTTGCTTTGTTTTGATTCGTTTCATCTGGGTTTAGAAGCGGGAATTGGTCAAGATTTTTATTGTGAACATGATAACTTTAAGTGGACAACTTTCAAAAAGAAAAAAATCAGGTGGTTATTTGATTAATGAGTCTGAAAGTCAGAAGAGATATTAAGGCAAGAAATATCAATTAGAGAGGTATCAGAATAAACATGACATTTAAAGTCCGTAGATTGGATGAGATCACTTGGACAGGGTATAAATAGAGGAGAGAAAAGATCCCAGGGCCAAGTCCTGGAGGGACCTATGATTCACACAGCTGGAAGAAAAGTTGGAGGCTGATAAAGTTGGAGACTGAAAAGAGAAAAGTTGGAGACTGAAGAACACTAAACACAGAGATAGGAAGAAACCCAGAAGAGTGTGGTGCCTCAGAAGCCAAGGAAAGAAAGTATTTCAAAGAGCAGGGAGAAGTCAACTGTGAGATATGATGTCGAGCAAGGGACTAAGATGGATACAAAGAAACATCCATTGAATCAGACCAAACAGGGGTCATTGGTGAATATAACAAGAGCATTCAGCGGACTTTTGGGCTTAAAACCAGAAAGAAGTCAACTGAAGAAGAGGTGGGAAGAGGAGAAGTGAGAAAAGGAAATTGAGATGATATATTTTTGCTCAAAGAGAAGTAAAAAGAAAAAGTGGAGTGGTAGTCATAATGAGATGTGGGGTCCAGGGAGAATTTCTAAGATGATAGATATCCAAGCATGTTGGTTAGTCAATAAGAATACTCTAGTAAAGAAAGGAAAATGTGATGTGGGAGACATCACTGCAAGAGCTCAGTGCCTGGCATGTTAGAAGAGATGGCTTTGAGAGCACTAGCACAAGAGATTTTCGTTATATAGGAAGCAGAAACAGCAGGAGTAAGAATTGGAAAGACAAAAACGTCAGGTTGCCATTTTTCTGGTGAAAATTAGAATTAGATGTGTTTAATAAGAAATTTGGAATCTCCCTTCATGTTACCCTGGAGGAGTGGTGAGAAGCTGAGATTCAGCTGGGGTCAAGCAAATAGCCTCTGTCACAGGACTTCACTCACCAGTCTTTTCTCTTGCAAGACAGTTCATCAAGTAGGATTTTCCTGTACGATACAGCCCAACGATGGCCACGACCACCACGGGTTGAGAAATCTTGTTAAGAATCCTTACAGCTTTCTGGTTCACGGACAGATGTTCATTCTTGTTTTCCACCAAACATATGGGAACCAACATGATAGGTCCAGATGCCATGGCAACCTGCAAACCCAAAAGAGTCTTTCTGTAGAAATAAGATCACAAAAATCCATTCTCCATTAAAATCCATTCTCTGCCTCAGCATTAATCAAAGCATCTGTATATCAGCAAAGGGCTGGTGGAACCTCTGTTCTTGACTATGGCTCAAAATGTAGGATAGCATTAGGAGACCACAAGAGGGCTTCCTCCATCATCATCTCTGATGGTGGTAGTGATGAAATAGCAGGTAGTATCAGCCTCCAAAGTTTACTTTCATAGAAAACCAAAATTCAAGCAATGCTTATCATGCATTGAGAGTCTACATTGCGCTGAGCTCTGTGACACGTGCATTACATACCTGACCTCGCTGGTATTTATAAGAACCTTGCAAGTTTGGGCTTATTATACCTATTTTGCATACGTAGTAAAGTTCAGAAAGACTGAGGGATTTGCTCAAATTTACATATGAATAAGTGGTAGATCCAGGATTTGAAACCAGGGAAATCTGTGTCACTATGACATGCTTTGCAACCACTTACCTGGCAGAATAATCTTTCTCGACTACATTGATTACCCCATATACTCCTCAATCAGTAATGTACAGGGGCTTTCTATTGACTCTCCTATAACAACAACGTGTTCTCTAATGTATTAGTGTGATGACATGGGTTCCTCTTATTTCTGTAGAGTCAGGCCCTCATTCCAGAAAACACTCAGCAGTTTCTCGACCAGGCTCTTTCCTTGCATGATCAGTGTTTCATTGAGGGCTCCAGGTCACCTAATATTTTTTGAATGGTATGCTTTCATGTTTTCATTCTTTGATACCCAGTGTTATCAATACTGTCTTTAATTTATTTAAATGCTTTGGATGAGCATCTATTATATACCTGAAACTGTGGTTGTTTCCTGGGATAAAACTATTTATAAGCTATAGCCCCTGCCCTCAAAGTAATACTAGAATAACTGTATCCGTTAGGATTAGGTTTAGCTGTGAGAAACAGAAAAAAAAAGGCTCATGAACAATTTAAATATACTACTGTCTTACATAAATTCCAGGATTAGTAGTCCCACATGGGTAGGAGAAATTTGTTTCATACAAGATTGGGGCCCAGGACCCTTCTGTCATATGCTCAGCCAACTATAAGGGGCAGCCCAAGGTCCAAGAGGGTGTGCTATCATATTTATAGTAAGAGCAGATTGGAGAAGGAAAATGACAAGTCCCTCTTTTAAGAACTCATCACTTCTACTAAAAAACAATAGACCTTAAGTTAACCCACTACCGTGTCCAGCTGCAGAGGAAGCTGGAATTACTATGAGTATTTTGGGAAAACATGTACACAGCAAACAAGCAGGTATTCTATTAGTATAGGAGGAGGGACGAAACGATATAAGGGGACAGCTACCGTTAACCATCTCAAACTAGGAAGGTTGTAGACAATACAACATGGATTACAGTTCATGGTTCATCGCACTTATAATTAGGGGGACAGGTGCCATGTCTGTCTTGTTCCCAGCTTAGACCCCAGGCTAGACACATAGAATGCACTCAGTCAACATTTGTTAAATTGTAATCATCATGAGGAAAGAGGTCTATGTGAGTGATATGCACAATTGAATCATGTGTTGAGATGACTTAATTCAGCTTAAGAATACAAAAGAATAAAAGCCTTGGGGAAATCTAAGGGGTGATGGTCCTGAGAGAGCATGGAGTTTCAGAGGCAAGGTAGACAGAGTGAGCATCCAGAAGAGAGGACAGGTCAGCGATGTTAAATGCCCAGAGAGTTCACTGCAATTGTCGGCAGGGAGGCCAAGGATGACCTAACGGAGCACAGATTTACTAGAGTGATGGAACAGGAGCCAGAGCTGGAGGAAGGAGTGGCCGTGTGGAAACGAGGGAGGTCCAAGGAAGGCAGCTACCTTTCAAGAGGGAAGAATAGGGTCTTAAGAGATATGTGCTCAAGTATTTAGTGGTAAAGGGTCATGGTCTCTGCTTCTTACTCCCCAAAATAATAATCAGAATAAGAATGTAAATAGAAGAAAGTACACATCTATTTAAAAAGAATGCAAATGTCACAAAATGTCACCAGGAGTAAATCCAAGTAAAATGTATGTGATATTTCATTGTAATCTTAAAATTTCACTATAATTCAGAATTATTTTTCCAAAATAAAAGTTTAGTTTGAAACAAGTATTAAAAGTACTACTATCGCAAATTTTTGATTATTTTTATGTTAAAATTGTTCTCTGTGATATCTCTAATTTTTTTGTCTTTCTTTTTTTGTTTTGGTTAGGAAGATTAGCCCTGAGCTAACATCTGTTGCCAATATTCCTCTATTTTGATAATTATATTTATTTATTTATTTTTCCCCCAAAGCCCCAGTAGATAGTTGTATGTCATAGCTGCACATCCTTCTAGTTGCTGTATGTGGGACGCGGCCTCAGCATGGCCGGAGAGGCGGTGTGTTGGTGCGCGCCCGGGATCCGAACCCGGGCCGCCAGCAGCGGAGCACGTGCACTTAACCGCTAAGCCACGGGGCTGGCCCAATCTTCCTCTATTTTGTATGTGGGATGCTACCACAGCATGGTTTGAGGAGCAGTGTGTAGGTCCATGCCCAGGATCCAAACCTGCCAATCCTGGGCTGCCAAAGCAGAGTGCATGAACTTAACCACTACAACACCAGGCTGGCTCTTAAATTTCTTACTATAAGAATATGTAAAAGCATTTAGTTGAAATGCCTCAAATATTTTTATATTCTATTTGTTAAATATTCAAAACATCTATTATTTTCAAAATTTTCCAGCTCCACGGTTGACTACTTATGTGACCTTAGCAAGAAGCTTAACCTGGCTAAGTCACATTTTAAATAATTATATGAGAGTTATAGGTGAAATAACTAGTCGCACCCCAAGGCTTGGTTTGAAGTTTAAATGAGATGCTATAAACATTCATCTTAGCAGAGTGTCCAGCACAAAATAAACTTTCAGTAACTGCTTGTTGAATTAGATGAAAATTAATCTACAAAAACCACAATGACAAATTGGTCCATTAATGTGTTTCAGTGCATTCTATAAACTGTAAGTTACAGAGACATAAGGTGTGAAAATAAATTTTTCATCAGAACAAAACAATAATCAGCTGAAAACACGCCATTCCTGTTCACCCTTCCTTTCTTGGATCCTTCAGGCTCTGAGGAATAAGTGACATGGACGTAAAACATGAGCCCCTAATAGCCACATTATAATCACTAGATGTGCATACCCTCTCAGGGACAAGATTGAGGGAAACCGCAAAAAGATGTGAATTTTACTGCAAAATCTATTTTAAAAATAGAAGAACTTGTGAAAGAACTACAGCTGGGAAAGTACTACAAATTTTAGCTTCACATTAAGAAAGTAGTGTTGTTCACTCCTGTTCAGAATTGGTTTTCAATTTTGATGTATATAAGAGTCATCTGGAATGATTGTAAAACCCAGATTCCCAAGCCCAAGAGTTTATATGTATAACAAAAGCCACCAATGATTCTGATGTTTCTAAGGGACACATGTCTATGACAAAACTCAGTTTTGATTAGAATTATTTTTATCTGATAAGGGTCTGTGATGTAGGGACAAAATTCATTCCTACATGAAGATTTTTAAAGCGCTTATTCCAGTTCTCTATAACTAAGACACTATCTCTTCCACTAATAATGATAACGATGATGATCTCCTAGACGAAAACTATCTTTACTCTCTGTATCTATAATCCACCATTTGTGTGAGAGGATGGTATTTGATTGGGGAGGTCTGTAAAGAAAAATGAACCTCCTCTTTTGAAAATCGGTTAGAAAATGCGTACAGAAACACTTTTTCAATTTTTTAATTGTGGTAAAATACATATAGCATAGTATTCACCATCTTAACCATTTAAGTATTATCGTTCAGCAGTATTAAGTACATTCATGTTGTGTGCAATCATCACTGGAATCGATGTCCAGAACAGTTTTCATCTTATAAAACTGAAACTCTATACTCATTAAACGATAACTCCACCTGCCCCATTTCCCCAGCCCCTGGTCACCATCATTGTTTTTTCTTCTCTATGATTTTTACTACTCCAAGTAACTCATATAAATGGAATCATACAGTATCTGTGTTTTTGTGACTGGCTTACTTTTCCTAGCATAATATCCTCAAGTTTCATTCATGTTGTAGTATATGTCAGAGTTTCCTTCATTTTTAAGACTAAATAATATTCTATCATATGTATCTATCACATTTTGATTTTCCATTCCTCTATCCAGGGACACTTGGGTGGCTTCCACATTTTACCTATTGCGAATAATGCTGCTATGAACATGCGTGTACAAATACCTCTTTGAGAACTTGCTTTCAATTCTTTTGGGTACATACTCAAAAGTGGAATTGATAGATCATATAGTAATTCTATTTTTCATTTTGGGAGAACCACCATACTGTTTTCCACAGTGCTGGTACCTTTTACATTGCCATCAACAGCACACAAGGGTTCCAATCTCTCCACATCCTCACTAACATTTTTATTTTCTGTTGTTTGATAGCAAGCCATCCTAATGGGTATGAGGTAGTTTCTCGTTTTAGTTTTGATTTGTATTTCCCTGATGATTAGTGATGTCAAACATCTTTTCATATGTGTATTAGCTATTAGTATATCTTATTTTGGGAAAGGTCTATTTAAGCCTAGGAGGTGAATCTAATGTGGAGCCAGGGTCAAGAACCAGTGATGAGTCTATCCTCATGCATATTATAATGAGAAAAATTAAGGTCATGGATGAAGAAAATGTCTTCTCCCCCCAGAAAAGAGCCAGGAAGAGACCCTAATCTCCCATCTCTCCAAGCAGGGTTCTTTCTACTCCACTTGCTGCTGTCCTGGTTATGTGACACGGCACAAGACTGTCATCTTGCCACTACCACTGGCCCAAATCAGGAAACGAGCTTTCTCTGAACCAAGCCAGCAACTGAACCCTGCAGTCTAAACTATCAGGCTACATTCTCCCTGACCCCTC